CGCCTATTATGTAATAGTAAGCTAATGGTTAATGCATACTAGATGTACTCACCAGATAAGCAGCTTCTCTCATCATTCTTTTTCCTCGTGCATCCCATATAGCAGGTACAGTAATGACCCAATCAAAATCTGTTGTCTTCAATGGCTTGACAGAACGAGAGAGATGATCAATGAGTTCATTCTTCAGGTACTTCAATATGAATGCAATAACTTCAACCAGGTAGTACTTCTCCCCAGAAAATGACATCACTACTGATTGTCTGTTAATAACCTGAATTATAAATAAGTTAATCTTACACACTATCTACAGTATGAATTACCTACCATTTCTCTCTTCATTAACATTTTGATTCTCTCAAAAAAAATATAGTTTGAGTGTTCACTGGGTTTTATATCTCGAAACCTCTTCTTAGCATTTTCCCCAAAGGCCTCCACTATCACTTTAGTTCCTTCTCTCTTCAACATGATGACATTGAGTATTCGTGTAGCCTTTGATGCAGGCTCCAGAGGAAGTGTGGCAATTTCTTTGTCCCCTTTGGTAGTATAAGCCAGTGACACTGATGTAGTACCAAAGTCAATAGCAGTAATATTGCCATCAGTCACACGATAGCCAGAAATTGTACGGGGAATCTTATCAGCTCTAACCAGAGGAGGGTAATAAGGCATCATCTTTACTTTAGGGCTGGAACTTTCAGTGTGTTTTTGGACTATAAAACAGGTTGTATAGTGTGTAGGTGTAACCACACTCCCCTCTTACTTCCTAGAATTGATTTGCCACAAAATTCTTGGAACAGCTAGAATACCATATGAATATCGTTTTCTTGGAATGATTATAAATATTCAATTAAATGCTTAGACAATTAAATTACAATACAAGACTATATATTGTGAACGAATGTTAACTATGCAAACTCAGACAGGGCAGCATTACAACTACACAACAATATACATTACTTATCAAAATGTACTTTAGCATATGCAAACTTCATTGATGATTTCTTAGCATTAGTATAAGGATTAGAAGAGAGGCGAGAAGGAGATGCTCCACTCCTATCAGACGATATTGAAGAGGCTCCAGCTCCAGCTCCGTGGGATCGTTGCTGATAATGAGATAAACTGTAATTCATCATTGAGGGTTTACCGTGCCCAGAATAATGCGACTGGGACGCTAAACCTTTCAAAGACTCATCAATCGTCTCCTCGAAATACCTTGCAAGAGGCAAACCAAACACAACGCTCTTCTTGATGCGAGCTTTGCAGCGATGGAGTGCAGCTCTGGCTGATTCAAGCTGGCCTTCATCGGCTAGTTTAGTAGCTGAGGATATTGCTTCAGCAACGTCATATCTAGTGAGGTGTAGTTCAATGTCCTCTTGATATTCTTTGTCTATGACTGGATTGGATATCTCTTTGCTAACTAGGACTGCTCCAGTAGCTGTAGTGGTCTTTGGTGAGCAGCGGAGGACGTCAAAGTAAGTCAGAGAGCAAGAGAGAATTTGTGCCTTTGATTCAATACAACCAGCAGTTGATGAGGCAGCGAGGAGTCTTGTATGTATCGGTATGCATTTCTCTTCTTCACTGTAATAACAAAAACAAATGGTAATATTGACAAAATATTCTAGAATAGTAATAATAATTATAAATTGACAGTGACATATGATGTTATTATAACATCATTTGGCCAAAAGCCATCTAAGTATGGAGGGTATTTTGCCCAAAATGACTAGGAGAGAATTCTTCATTTTTATAATTTTTCTGATATATATACAAGTTCTTATGTCATGTAGAAAATTTTAACTGATTTAGATTAAATTTGAATTTTTTACAAATTTTTAAAGTTGCTCCAAAATTGGGTCAAAGTCCCTGTACTAGAGTACAGGGACGTTGGCCAGATTTTGTCAAAAATTGAAAGGAGAGAATTCTTCATTTTATAATTTTTCCTCATACATATACATGTTCTTATGTCGTGTAGAAAGTTTGAGCTACTTCCGATCAAAATTGAATTTTTTACGAATTTTAAAAGTTGCTCCAAAATTGGGTCAAAGTCCCTGTACTATAGTACAGGGACGTTGGCCAGATTTTGTCAAAAATTGAAAGGAGAGAATTCTTCATTTTTATAATTTTTCCTCATACATATACATGTTCTTATGTCGTGTAGAAAGTTTGAGCTAATTCCGATCAGAATTGAATTTTTTACAAATTTTTAAAGTTGATCCAAAATCTATAGTTGGCCAAATTTGTCAAAAATTGAAATTTTTTTATCAAAAAATTTTTTATACATATACAAACCCTTATGCTGTGTGGAAAGTTTGAACTGATTGCAATCAAAATTAAAATTCATATGCTATTTATTATACTGCTTGTCAAGCATCCTTTTAAGCTTGCTTACAAGTAGCATGCTTTGTGGGTAAGCCTGGCAAAGAGCATTTTTAATAATAAACTGTTAGAAAACACATCACTATGAATTGATTCTTAATACTTAGATAGATACAATACAATACAGTACAACGCATGCCATACCAGTATATATCAGGTATTGTGATCTTGTATGTTTGTTTTGGACATGATTCTGTTCCGTATGATGTCAATGGAGGCTTCACCATTCGACACAACTCATCATTAACAGTGAGTGTCAGCACCAGATTCTAATAACAATAAATTAATATTATCACAATTATTATTATTATTGCTGTTACTTGTGCTGCAATGCTGAGTAATCCTCCAAGACAGTCGCAGAAACTGTCAGGGATGCTGTCTTTATTTTCAACAAAATAAAACAAACCGTTTCCAGCATCAGAGATAGCATGCAATGTATCAGAATCATGATCACTGCCATAGCCTAATGTGAATACACACACTTGACGACCAATCTCATTAACCATTGACCTGAAGAGAGAAAGAGAGAGAGAGAGAGAAAGTAAAAGGAAGAAAGAGAGAAGAGACAAATAAAAATACAAAAATAATTCGCAGCCTATCAGTTAATGTATAAATTGTCTTAGTCTTTATTTCTCTTACTTTGTTGCCTTGGCTAGTGGTTCTCTGTCTTTAATACCAAAGTTAGCTTTACCGTCAGTGAATAATACAATAGATTCAACTAATGTACTCTCACTTAATGGGACATCATATAACAACTAGTTGGGGAAAGAGAGAGAGTAGAAAGTGAGAGAGATGCATTTAAAAAATATATATCAAAATAATCTAAAGCCGTGTGAACAAGGCATTTACAAGGTAGCTAAGAATAAATTATAACAAGTAAACAAAAAACATTAATGATGAAAAAGTAGTAGGATTAAATTAGAAAAAAGTAAATAACAAGAGGGTACTTGCAAACTGGTGTGGTAAAAAAATCCTACACCACTGCATAAAGAATATTGCTCGAAATTATTGTAATCATCCACGCAAATTACTTACTATGATAACTATGAAGCTACATTTGCATCTCTTTCATGCAGTGGTGTAGGATTTTTTACTTCACCAGTTTGCAAGTACCCTCTTGTTTCTTTACTTTTTTCCTACTACTTTTCCATTTTTAATGTTTTTATTTACTTGTATAATATAGTCTAGCTGCATGGTGTAAAGTGCATGAATTATGAAAAAGTACATGAAAAAGAAGTTAATTCATCAGTGTTTGGGTGTCAACT